CATCCTTCAAGGTTTCGAATTCAGCCTTCATACGCTGGTGCGTGAAATTTTTAATTGTTTTCCAATGTTTTGATTATTTTTGCATAGACTAAAGCACAAAGCAGTGAAAATCATTAACAGCCAATCGTTCGATCGGCTGAATTGCACAAAACGCATGATCGCACCGGCTAGTCTGGTGCGCGTTGCCATTTATAATACTATCACCTGTGTCGCTGAGTTGCGAAAGACCCATGCTTCTCCCACCCCCTCCCCCCACTGGATCCACCAATTTATAGAATCAAACATTGATCTTAAGAGCGGATGAGGAGCATGACGAGAGACCACTTCATTGCTGCTTGATGACCCGGTGGGAAAATAGGTCCCCATCTCGTCCTATTTCTTCCATTAACTGAAGTTCGCGTAGATCGGGACCGTAATTTATGTGCAGCTGTAGTTAAGCAATTAATCCTAGGTTATTGAAAAACTCACTTTTAGCTTGCACTTTGATGTGGCGATAAATGGGGGAACAGTGGTGAGACCACTGTTCTTTGAGTTCGTTAACGACACTCAAGCAAGAAACATCGATCATCAGTTCCTGTGGGGTGCTTCGATGATGATTATTCCAGTTACCAATCAGGTAAGAAATTCCACATCGTATTCGCTGTTTCAAGAGGGAAGGCATCTCTTCGCAGTTGCAGCTTCTTTTTCCATATAATATTCTGTTGACTTCCTCCAGCATAATACCATTTCCCGATAATCCGAGCATTTTCGTCGACTACTAAGTGAAAATTCCAGAGCACGGAAATTGTTTTTGCATATATACCTCATGGTTTGTGGTACAGCATACGGTACAGCGATTACGGTGATGTGTATGAAAATGGAAATGCTGCATTTAAGGCGCCAATAACAGACTTAATACCTGTACTGTTGAGAGGTAAACCCATCCTCACTGTTTCATTGTTTTGGTACCAAAATTTATTCGAAGTAATTTGAATAATTAATGACCAGTTGTGGCGAGAAAGCCGAAAAATAAACTTAGCATCTGCACAGACCACATATTTTGATGATAT